CCCCCCCGGGCCCCACGACGTGTTATAAAAAGTGTCTCAAAACAACACCATTTGCTCTCCGCTTCAAACCCGGCGCAGACCTGGGAATTGCTTTCATGCGGAGCCCGCCCCCGCCCCATCCCGACGCACACCGTGGAGGCACATGCCTGGAAAGCAAAAGGACTGGGCACGATTTTGGCCCCGGCTCCACTTGCCTGGTCTCTCAGTCAGGTGCAGTTAAGCAAATGCCTCCTGGATCCTCCCAGGGTGCAGAAGTGCCGCGGGGAGAGAGCCCGCCTGCTCCTGGGCACATGCTTGGCCGGCAAGACTAATGTGGCCCTTGTGCAGGAGCGCTCACTCCCTGCTTCGGTGGGAAACCGGGGCCCAGCTCGTGACAGCCGCTAGATACATTTGCCACCTCCACCCCACCCTCGCAAACCTGTTCTGGGGCATTTCTCCTTCGCCCGTGCACGCGCGAGAGCGAGCCCGAGCCTCCCCACGAGCGGGTCCTCTCCTGCCCCGGGAAGGGCAGACAGCCGCCTCCCCTCCGCCTCTTCTCGCCCGTCCAGCTCCCTCCTCGGCGGCTCCAGCTCCCTCCCGCAAGCGCGTCGAGACGCAGAAATTTGGGATGCTCTATACATGTGTATAAACAAGAAGTGTTTTCCTGTTACCCTTCGTTTCCCAGAGCATAAGCAATTTGAGTCAGACTGCAGTATTTCCTTTAACGCTATAGCGCTGTCAAAACACTATTCCGTTCTCCTCTGCTTTTGACAGCTGAGCACGTCTTAAATATACCCAAATCGGAACCCTCCCTGCTAACTAGTAAACCTCAGCAAGGAGCGAGCTCTTTACATTACAGCACCTTGGATTTCAGGAACGCATCTCGCGAAGCTTACAGCCCAGAGGGGGGAAACACCAATACAAATATTTAGTTCATTACAAAAAAATAAAATAAAATAACAATCCAGCAGCAAGAAACGATGCACACCCCCTCCCCCGCCTGTCGATCTTTGTATATTTCTCCTCATTTCGCGGGGGTGAAGTGGCAGCAGATGCAATTTTTAAAAAGTGGCTTCCCTTTGTGATGCAAAGCCCACCACCAAATCTTTGCTTCGAACTTGTTCTCTCATCCAAACTAATCAAAGCCTTGGGAAGACAGGATGTGCGGTTCACACTGCAATGAAGAATCGAGGCAATTTGAATCGGGGCAGGGGAAAAAAATGAAAGCCAAATGTGGAATCCATCGTCCTTTACATTTCAGATGAATGCCTTAAAAACCGCCTACAACGCAGGACCCGATTGCTAAATAAAACCTCACACCCTTCCACTCACATCCTCCCTTCTGTTGCAAGCAGCGTGGGTCCATTTACTCGGTTCAGAAATTAAACATTAACTGTGAAGCTTAGACTCTTTAAACATTCCAAAGGGAAAAGTTGTCAAAGTTTTTAATAATATACCAGCCAGATGGAGGGGAAAAAAAGTTAAACATTTACAAATATGCAAACGGGTGACATTTGTTTCCTAGAAAGTTTAAGATAATGAAGGTCATTTTTCTCCCAGAAACAGAGATCAATAACAAAACTGGATCTGTCCCCTCCTGTTGGAGCCCGATCCTGTTCTCAGGGAAGTAATGAGAACATTTCCACTGAGTGCGGTAAGAGAAGATCCAATTTCCAACAGGAATGATTTCTTGAGAGTTAGAAAATAGGGTCACCCCCACCCCTCCCATGCAGTTACTTCAAAGCACTGCAAGTATTAGGTACTGTGGGTAAATAAAATCCTCCTCCTCCTGACAGTTCTTTAGCATCTAATTTTATTTTACTGTAAATTTAAGTTTTTTGGCTAATTAATTGGCGGAATCTTATCTTTTTTTCATTCTTTTTTTTTCTTCTGTTTCAAGAGACAGACTCTGTTGTCTTTATGCAGGCAAACCTTGCATTCATGTCAGCAATGTGCTTGCCTGCTTAAATCCTCTGAACTGCTCAGCCCTGTGGTACAACCATTCCTTATCTCTGTTTTATTTTACTGGGTCCTAGCTATAGACCAATACAGCCAACTCTTCAGGTCTAAATATAGCCATGAAATATTACTATGGTTATAAAAATATAATCTGATGAAGTTATATATGGGTTGGTTGTTTATCTCCATGTGGGTGGGTGCATCATTATATATGTGTGTATACATACACACATGACTCAATTAAAAACTCAGATGCTGTCTCAGATCATTGTTAGTGCTATTTGGCTTAGTGTTATTTTACCAACATTTTTTCAGAATTGTTAGTAGCTTTACATCTTAGCTGGGGAAATGCCTAACAGAAGTATTTTCTCCTAAGTATGATTAAAAACACAAAAGCCTAACAAAAAATCAAAAATGAAATATTTATTACCGCATTTTGTGACTTAACACCTTTTTTTTTTAAAACATAACGTCACAGTCCTCATACAAGTATTTTAATGTAAATTTTGACAAAGCTTAAAGGTAACAGCATTTTCTTCTAGTGAGGAACACGTGCTGAGAA